GCTTGGAGAAGTGAATTCGCGTGCATGTCAATTTAACGATTGGTTGTTCAAATTACGTCTGCGTGTAAGACTGTCGACGGTGTATGTGGACAAATCTGATTCTTTTACTATCGCAGACATATACACAATTCGAAAATGGAAATTAATATTCAATAGACTTAAAGTTTTAGTTTATAATACTATATTATTAAATTGTAAACAAGTTTTATTCCATTTTAAAGTAAGTATTAAAAAAAATGCATCTATAGGCTTTACAAAGTTTGAATTAATATTCCAAATTCTATTGTATAGACTATAGAGCAATGAGGGGATGGAAAAGTAGTAGTAGACTTTGATATAGAAGATGTACCACTCTACATTAAAAGTGACCACACACATGTATATGTAGTACAAAATGTTAATGTCACAAATCAAAATCTAGGGACTTTAGTTAGATGATTCTAGGGGAAAAAATGTACATTTATTAGAAATCATGTAAATAATTTTATTTGAGTATCACTTCAATGAAAATATAGAAGCCATCTGTTTTTTAGGGTAAATTACGAACAACTCAGAGGTAAGACTAAATAATTTACAAGTCCCTGTGGTATTGATAATTACAAATACCGTGATCAACTATTTTTCCTTCTTATAATTACATCCTTACGGAGTTATGAGTAAAGGAATATTGAAGATTCTATGGAACATTCGTTCTAAATTTCCAAATCTACTCACAGGGGTAAATACAATATACACACATAGGATGGTAAATGTAATATTTTGTCTTACCTCAGAGTATACCTTATAATACAAGGGCAATTTAGAAAATTAATTCATTCCGTTAGAATTTACAACGAGTTGTTACCTTTAGGGGAATATTTGTAATGGTCAATATCACATGAATTTGTAAGTTATTCGGTTTTCCCTTAAAAGAGTATTGTAATTTACCCTATTATTATTATGAATAATGAAAATGAGAAGTACATGATATTTATAAAAAATAAGTAATGACATATATAATATTTATATTGCTTCTAAAATCATTAATTAGTCTAAGCCATATTCATATATAAAACCAAGAAAAAAAGTGATTTTTTGAATAACTTTATCGGGACAGCTTTTAATAGTAGTGTGGGGGCGAATGGAATTTTCCATGTACGAATGGTCTATATGGGGTTAAGGGCCACAATTACATTTGATTTTTTTTGTTATTATTAATCATTATTATTATTATTTATTTATTTATTATTTATGTAAAAGTGGAAGAATCATTCGTCAAAAAATGGGTTGTTTAAAATATTGGGGCAATGACTTTGTATTATTGATTGGCCCCATTTTATTAAGTCAATCTCTCTCTCTCTCCAAAATCTCTCTCTCTCTCCAAAATCTCTCTCATTTTTCAATCTCTTTCTTAATTAACACTTGACTGAGCCTACTTTTTCTAAGGTTAAAACGAAACATCCCATGTACTCATCTTGCACTCTTGATTATTTTTTAATTATAATTATTAAATTTTACCAATTTTTTGGTATTTATTTAGGGGTCCCACCATGGAGTAGGTTTCATGTACAATCACATATTATACATATACAATTATACACATGATCATTTTTTTGTTTGTCATATATTATTATTACATATTTAATTTATAATTTGTAACTCAATTCAAGATTTTTCAAAAAAAAATATATATAGAGCAAGTCACATAAAGAAAAGTGAAAAAAAATATTCCTAAAAATATATGGCCTTAATAATAAATGTAATTCAAATTAAATAATTTTGTTAAAGCCACATATTTGGAATAAATAAGAAAAATATAGTAGTATAATAAATAAATAAAACAATAAAACATAGAACTAAAGAATCTTTCTACTGATTCATTGCTCTGGAATTTTATTGTCTGGCCAGTAGGATCCTTGCTGTTATTATAAATATTTTAATTAATTTATATACTAAATTAAATGTAATATCAATCCTGAATCTGATGATATTGAAGTTGAGGAAAAATTAAATAAATAAAAATAAATAAACAGAAAGAATCTCAATAGTTGTTCATCATGGTTCTTTGATTTAAATATATCAATTTAATTGTACTCCATAAATGAATGCACTAATTAGGCAAGTTCTTGCTAAATAAATAAATATAATAAATAAATTACATTGTGACGAGAAATTATTATTTAACTTACTACCATCATTTAATTTGTTGATTTAGTAATTATTTCTTTAGAATCAGTAAAATGTCATAGCAAAATTCTACAATAGGTGTTTGTGTTTGAAATATAACAAAATATAATATTTGCGTTACATAAAATAAACACATTTCTTTTCGTTGAGAATAGTAGAAAATGGAAAAATGACAGTTTTCACCCCTCAAGTTTGTAGTTAGAAGGTAGCTTGCGAGCTGTCGAACGACTAAATTTGGGCTCGAGCTCAAGTAGCTCGAGTTCGAGTCTTTGTCGAGCCAGCTCGTCGAGTTCGCGACCCGGCTCGGCTCGTTTACCATCCCTAGTTTGTACTGATTTCATATTTAGTCCCTCATATTTCAATAATTTAATGTTTTTGGTCATTTTCGTCAATTTACTGTTAGTTCGTCAGTTAAGGTAATGATGGACACATACTTGGTTCCGTTAGTACTAACGAAAGATTCAAGAAAATGACTAAAAATGTCGAATTTTTGAAACATGAAAGACCAAATGTGTTTTTTTTGTGAACTTGAATGATTAAATATGAAATCGATACAAACTTGAGGGATGAAAACTGTATTTTAGAACTCTAATTTTCATTTGGAAATAAATATTTTAGCAACTTTTGACTTACTCCGCCACTAATAAAATTGCAGCAATTTCATGAAAATAGAGTCAATGAGAAATATTAAGAATTGACAAATTTCCATTAAACAAATGGTTAGATTGCTTAAATTGATTGTATAAATATTATCCTTGATAAGTATAGTCTACTTGCCAACAAAAATGACAAATAATTGCATTTAAAATTTTTTAATGCAGTCGGTTTTCAAACATGGTAACAATCATATCAAATCATGTAATTTCTTACTAATGTTACATTATCGGCACAATCTAATATTGAAAATACCAATTATTGATAATCCATTTACTACTAGTGTAGTCAATATTGCCGTTATACCGAAATATGTATCGCGATATGATTTCTATGGAAACGATACAACTTGGCATATGTATCGATTGTAATCAAATACCGCCAAGTATCTCTCTATATCGAGATAAGATACGATATCCGATACGATACGATAATTACGATATTTGTTTTGAGGATGATTTGTGCGATTTTCAGCACATTTAGGGGTAAATTTTGCGATTTTCAACACGTTAAGGGGTGATTGTGTGACTTTCAACATCTTCTGGGGTGATTTGTGCGATTTTTAGCATATTTAGGGATAATTTGTGCAATTTTCAGCACATTTTGTTTATAAAGATTGTGTTTTTTTAAATTAAGGTAAAACCACCCAAAAAAAAAATGCTTCAGATAAAAACAATTTATATTAGCAAATGTAATTAAACTAATACTAACATTTCTAAAAATTATAATTTCTTTCCTTGTCTATAATTGAATGTTAGAAAATTGAATATATATCTATTTTGAATGAATGGTTTAAATTTAAAATATCAATTTCTACATCGTATTATCATGTGATATACATTTTGTACTAATTTTAATAGTTAATCAACTATCATATGATACGATGCGATAAATAATACGGTAAGGTATGCCGTATGTGGAGGAACACGATATGACGATATATTCCGATACGATAACAATGTTTATTAAAATATTTAAATTTTAATTAGTAAAAATATTAAATTTAGTTAATCCAATTAATAACATTTCTTATTAATTTTTTTCTTAAAAAGGACTATGAACCGACTATTTTTAATACACCGGGTACGCATTATTTTCAAATATGTAATTGAATTATATTCCAACTTATTCAGAATATAAAATATTTATTATGTGATCTGGAAGCCTTGAATTCTGGTTGAAAGGCCAAAAGAATCAACTAAAAACTAACTGAAATACATTTTATAAATAATTATAATAAGCTTCCATGAATATTTGCCCCCTAAAATATTATTAATTAATAAAGAAAAAGATTTTATTTAATTTTTATATTTCATGTATGTAAATAAAGAGGTGGCAGTTGCAATAATGGCTGCCATGTTGAGACTTGGGTGGATTTATCATTTTATCTCTCTACATGGGCCCACATGGGCCACCATTTTGGACGGCGTCAGTGTATGGTTGACGCCCCAATGCATCTTTGCAACCGGCAATCACCGGTAATCACCACTTAATGCGCTTGTAAATTTACTAAAAAGCCCCGCACAAAATTCAAACCCGTATTACTCCTAATTAATAAATTTAGAAAAAAACAAAAAAAGGAAAAAATGCAACTAAATTTATAAATAAATTAAATTTGTTTGAAAAGAAACTTTTAATAAATTTTGCTGTCTTTTGAGATATGAATATATCCGTTAAGTGGTAATATTGTCATAATACATTTACAAAAAAAATGAAATAGATATGTATTTTAAAAAAGGGAAAAAATCTTTATACGGGATACTCGTGTATACATACGTAAGTACGTGTACGTATAGGTGGAGAGAGAAAGAAAGAGAGGAGAGAGAAAGCTAGAGAGAGAGAGAGAGAGTGGCCACTTGAGGGAAGGAGGGGATGGGGTTAAAACATACGGCGGGTATCGTTTGTGGAGACGTATAAAAAGAGGGGTTGTAGGCAGAAGAGACTCCGACGAACTGAGGAGAGCTAATTTTCCCCTTTTTTCTCTCTCATTACTCTTTTTTCATTTTCCTTGGGGAGTGAAAAACCTCGTTCAATGAATCACTGATTTTCTCTCTCTCTCTGTATATATATATATATCTCCTCTCCCTCTCTCTCTCTCCTCTGTTTTCTCTCTCTAAGAAGAAAAAAAAATACTGATCTAGCAGGGGGGGAGATTCCCTGTGAGTGTGCTGTAATCAAACATGGGAGGCGACAAGGCTATCAGTCTTGAGGAGATCAAAAATGAGACCGTTGATCTGGTAAAACTCAATCTCTGTATTGTTTCTCTGTTTTTTTTTATTAATTAATCCGATTCTTCGAATTTCGTGGAATTTTTGTTTGTTTGTGCACAATTTTCTGACGGAAATCAAATTAAGATCTGCTGTAAAAGTGAAATTGACTGGTGATTTTGAATTAATTTGTTCCTCTTCTGTGTGATTGTTGCTGGAATTGAATTGATTTTTCGCTAATCTGGTTGGTTTTTTATAGTAATTAAAGGAAATTGACATTAACAGCACGATTAGGTTTTTGTTAAGAAGATGAGAATCGGAAAAGATGCTTTGTTTTTGCTTTTTTCTTCCGGCTTTTTTATGTGTATGTAGATATAGATATGCTGTCTCTTTCTTCTGCTTTTTACAAAATTAAGAAGAGATATGAACAACTTTTTCAACAAACAGCGCATGGCGTCCGTCGCCATGACTGTCATCCTTTTTCTGTTTCTCTCTCCAGTTTTCTGATCAAATTCATCTCTTTCTCTCTCTAATTTTCTGACCAAATTCATCTCTCTTTCTCTCTCTAATTTTCTGATCAAATTCATCTGACTTTCTCTCTCTAACCGGTTTGAGACTGTATAGTCAAAGTTTGTTAGCCTCAAAATGTACAGTGAAAAGAAATCACAACACTCTTTGGAACATGGGAAAGTAAACGGCTACGCTAATCGCTCCTATAATTTAGGCTTCTCTTAAACAGAAATTAATTAATTGCATTATATTATTTATTTATCATATTATTTATTTATCATATTATTATATGAACATATCACATGGTGATGCTGTACAATTATTATTAGGATAAGATAAAAATAATTGGCAAATTGAATTAGGTATATTTTTGTTTTGAGAATTATACCTAATGAACGATCTGGATTCGATCTCGATATTTCTTAAATTTTGAAAATTGTAAAAATAAATTAGGTCTTCTATTTAGGGAAAAGAAAGTGAAATAATTCGAATAGTTATTCACAAGAGTTGTAGTTACTTTTGTGTCTGGTTTTATGTTTTTATAGGGGAATTAGTTAAGGTACTTTTTCCGTGGTACTTTTTAGCCCTTCTTGTTTTCGGTATTTGCGTTTTGGGGAACCTAACTTTTTTTTTTCTTTTGTTAATCAACGGTTACAAGTACCCTTTCTTTTTTCATGTCACAGTCCCTGGTTTTCTGACTACTCACGGAGATTTATTATTTTTATATTACCAAAACTAAAATATTTTAATCATTTTTCATTATTCATATAGTTAGCCCATAGACTTGCACGGTATTTTTAAATTTACCCCTGCGTGATTATTTTGGATTTTAATGGCGCGTGGGGTCAGTTCAGAATTGACACCCACAAAGGCGCACTGTGATTGGTTGGGGGAACCAAGACCGTTCTTTGTGGGTTTTGGAAAGCTCATTGATGGGCCCCACCCACATTGTTTTGAAAGTCAACTTTCGATTGTCCATACATCATGGTCCACATGACTTGCCGTTTCATGTGAATAAACAGTTGTGTATTATCTGCACTTATTGTATGTAGGCATGTATGGACAAGAATAAATTTGAATTGGTAAATTTTATTAAGAGAATTAATTACTTAATTAAGATGATGTTTTATGTCATGATTTTTTGTAATTATGTTGACATAATTTTGACTTGATATTGGTAATGGGTTTTAAAAATTACTTAATTTGTTTTCCAATTGGTAAAAGTATAATAATTTGGTTGACTTTGACTACCGAATAGTGAAAATTTAGCTGTTTGGAGTTTCTCAAGCATATTATGAAAATTAGTTAATACATTTAAAGAATCAGTAAATAAATAACGGGTTCATTCATAATATCAATTGGTAAAATTAGAATATTCGTATTTTCATATTTTCACCACTTATAATGCTTGTTGTTATTATTGCTTTTTATTTAAGATTGATCAACTTTTATGATTCAGTTTGCATTAATCTGTAAATCTTGGAGCAGTTATAGATCAAGATCACACATAATATGTCAGAATAGTTCATTGCATATGTGTATTGCCAAGAAAAATGTCTCGGACATTCTTTATAGTCATATTGAGATTCTAAAGTAACTTGTTTCCATCCTCGAAATATAACAGGAAAAGGTTCCAATTGAGGAGGTCTTCGAGCAGTTGAAATGTACCCGAGAGGGTTTGAGTGCCGACGAAGGGGAAAGCAGGCTTCAGATTTTCGGCCCGAACAAGTTGGAAGAGAAAAAGGTGAAACCCATCACAACAATTATTTTTTGCCTATTTAAAATACTAGACTAAAACATTTATGCAGTGGTTCCATATATGTAATGTTGTGTTATTTCGATACAGGAAAGCAAATTTCTCAAGTTTCTCGGTTTTATGTGGAACCCGCTCTCATGGGTTATGGAAGCTGCTGCTATCATGGCAATTGCGCTGGCAAACGGAGGTGGCAAGCCTCCGGATTGGCAAGACTTTGTTGGAATTGTTTGCTTGCTCGTTATCAACTCGACTATCAGTTTCATTGAAGAGAACAATGCAGGAAACGCTGCTGCTGCCCTTATGGCTGGTCTTGCTCCAAAAACCAAGGTATCTATATCAGACTATTAGTTTTCGAACTATTAGTTTTATCAGGAAAAGGAGAAGTATGTATTTTTCTACAAGAAAATATTGTTAATGAATGCTTTCGTTTGACCACAGGTTCTCAGAGATGGCCGATGGAGCGAGCAAGAAGCCGCAATCCTTGTTCCTGGAGACATTATCAGCATTAAGTTGGGAGATATCGTTCCTGCTGATGCCCGTCTTCTAGAAGGTGATCCTTTAAAGATTGACCAATCTGCCCTCACCGGAGAATCCCTTCCCGTGACCAAGAACTCGTATGACGAAGTCTTCTCCGGTTCAACCTGCAAGCAAGGTGAGCTTGAGGCTGTCGTAATTGCCACAGGTGTCCACACCTTCTTCGGTAAGGCAGCACATCTAGTGGACAGCACTAACCAGGTGGGACACTTCCAGAAAGTTCTAACAGCAATTGGAAACTTCTGTATCTGCTCTATTGCCGTTGGTATGCTGGCAGAGATCATAGTCATGTACCCGATCCAGCACAGGGAGTACAGAAAGGGAATTGACAATCTCTTGGTTCTTTTGATCGGAGGTATTCCCATTGCTATGCCCACTGTCTTGTCTGTCACGATGGCTATCGGGTCCCACAGGCTGTCACAGCAGGGAGCCATCACCAAGAGAATGACAGCTATTGAGGAAATGGCTGGCATGGATGTATTGTGCAGTGACAAGACCGGGACTTTGACTCTCAACAAATTGACTGTCGACAAATCCTTGATTGAGGTCTTCACAAAGGGTGTGGAACCTGATCATGTGCTGCTTCTTGCTGCAAGGGCTTCCAGAGTTGAAAATCAAGATGCTATTGATGCTGCTATTGTCGGTACACTCGCTGACCCGAAGGAGGTATATAGAAACATATATATATATTTTTCAATTCTTTTATCATATATAAAATAGTTAGGAGACTAGACGATTTCGCTTATTTGACATGTGTTTGGTGTTCGTTTTTAGGCAAGAGCTGGTGTCAAGGAGATTCATTTCTTCCCCTTCAACCCTGTGGATAAGAGGACTGCTTTGACTTACATTGACTCTGATGGGAACTGGCACAGAGCTAGCAAGGGAGCCCCGGAACAGGTGTGTGGCGGCCTACTTACTCCATCTATAAATAATGTTCAAATATTCCGATTGCTAATTTTATTTTTGGTCTTTCCTTGAATCAGATTTTGACTCTCTGCAATTGCCGTGAAGACTTAAAGAAGAAGGTGCACAGTGTTATTGATAAATTTGCTGAGCGTGGGCTCCGTTCGTTGGCTGTTGCTAGACAGGTTAGATATCGATAGCATTCATAACTTTTTCTCTTACACAGATTTTGGTAATTGACATGTTGTAAATTTCAGGAAGTGCCGGAGAAATCGAAGGAATCCCCTGGTTCTCCATGGCAATTCATTGGACTCTTGTCCCTTTTCGATCCTCCAAGACACGACAGTGCTGAAACCATTCGAAGGGCTCTAAATCTTGGTGTGAATGTCAAGATGATTACTGGTAAGTGAACGGTTTATCACCTTTGACTGGGTGTTTCTGAATTAATAATCCCATATCAATATCTTATTTTTGTTTTCATCGATTTTAGGTGATCAACTTGCCATTGCTAAGGAGACTGGCCGTAGGCTTGGGATGGGAGTAAACATGTACCCGTCTTCTTCTTTACTTGGTAACCACAAGGACGAGTCTATAGCTGGACTTCCTGTTGAAGAACTCATTGAGAAGGCAGACGGTTTTGCCGGGGTCTTTCCAGGTCCGTCTTTATTCATTGATATTTGAGTATAAATCTTGATTATCGAAAAATTCACACCCTTTATCTATTTCTTCGTGCAGAGCACAAATACGAAATTGTGAAGAAATTGCAGGAGAGGAAGCATATAGTTGGAATGACAGGAGATGGTGTGAATGATGCCCCTGCTCTAAAGAAGGCCGATATCGGTATTGCTGTGGCTGATGCTACTGATGCTGCAAGAGGTGCTTCGGACATTGTGCTCACGGAACCTGGGCTTAGTGTCATCATTAGTGCAGTGTTGACCAGCCGAGCTATTTTCCAGAGGATGAAGAACTATACCGTTAGTATTTTTTTCGTCTTTTTTTCCTTTCTAAATTGAAACTTTTTAGCTGAATCAGGTATTGAAGCTTTTGATTTTTTGTTTGGCAGATATATGCAGTCTCCATCACCATCCGTATTGTGGTAAGTTGAATTTTTTATTTAAAATAAAAATGAGATTGGATAAAATATAATTTATGTCTGAGAGGTTGATTCCTTATGTTGTTTTCTTTCCTTTTGTAGTTTGGTTTCATGTTCATTGCTTTGATCTGGAAGTTTGATTTCTCCCCATTCATGGTTTTGATCATCGCCATCTTGAATGACGGTAAATATTCAAATTTATATATTCTTTTATTAGTAGTTTGTGTATTTTGAGATTTCAAAAAAAAAAAAAACGTGGCAACTAATGGATTAATAATTCTTGTTCTATTAGGCACAATCATGACCATCTCCAAGGATAGAGTGAAGCCTTCACCATTGCCCGACAGCTGGAAATTGAATGAGATATTTGCCACCGGCGTCGTTCTTGGAGGCTATCTTGCATTGATGACTGTTATATTCTTCTGGATGATGCACGAAACCGACTTTTTCCCCGTAAGTGCTCTTCATGTGAAACAGAATACAAAAAGCTCAACTTAAACCATATATGTATCTTATTCATTTTTATTTATGTTCTTTTTGCCAAAAAATAAAATGCAGGACAAATTTGGAGTCAGATCTATTAGAGATAATGAAGACGAAATGATGGCTGCTCTATACTTGCAAGTGAGTATTGTTAGCCAGGCCCTTATCTTCGTCACCAGGTCAAGAAGTTGGTCATTCGTTGAACGCCCCGGACTTCTGCTACTAGTCGCTTTCTGCATTGCACAATTGGTAAACAGACTCTTGCATTTTTTTTCCCTAATGGAATATTATCACTGAATATTGAAATAATTCTCTATTTTTCTGGTTTGAAAATAACTTACTGTGGAATACTTTTCTTTGTAGATTGCAACCCTGATTGCTGTATATGCAAACTGGGGTTTCGCAAGAATCCAAGGGTGTGGTTGGGGATGGGCTGGTGTTATCTGGCTTTACAGCATTGTCTTCTACGTACCCCTCGACCTAATGAAGTTCGCCATCCGTTACATCTTAAGTGGAAAGGCGTGGCAAAATCTCTATGACAACAAGGTATACTGATATACATATATATATACACACACACACACACACGTGTATTATTTCTGCTTTAAAAAACAAAAGGCTGGTTGTGATTTTCGCTGAATTTGCATTTGTATGAATCAGATTGCATTCTCGACCAAGCAAGATTATGGAAAAGGAGAGAGAGAAGCTCAATGGGCTCATGCTCAGAGGACTTTGCACGGGCTTCAAAATCCGGAAGCTGGTAATCTATTCAACGAGAAGAGCAGCTACAGAGAACTGTCTGAAATTGCAGAGCAGGCCAAGAGGAGAGCTGAGATTGCCAGGTACTATTTTATTTTATTTTTTTATTTTTAATTTCACCTTAATTCTTCTCTGTAATGATTTATTCCTTTTGATCTTGATCTAAATTGCAATTTTTTATCATCTTAGGCTTCGTGAGCTGCACACACTAAAGGGTCACGTCGAATCGGTGGTGAAGCTAAAGGGTCTCGACATTGACACCATCCAGCAGCACTACACCGTCTGAAGAAACCCAAAGAAATCCCGAACGAACGAATGAATCTTTTTTTTTAACGATGAATTGTGGCTCTTGAAACAGAGAGCGAAAATAATCTTAGGGAAACAGAAAAGAGTGCTTTTTTCTAGAATTTAAAACTGCTTTTTTAAAAAGAGGAAGAACGGCAGTATTATGCCTCGTATTTCCCTGACATGTTTCTATTTTTGTTTTTCTAAAAAGTGTCCCCAGAAAGGGGTTAGTTTCTCTGTTTGATATTCGTCTCTGTTGAGTACAATTGCATCTCTACTTTGTAACAGTTTTTCACCATCTCTCTTATTTTTTGCCTGGTTGTTTTTATTCTCTTGTTTGTTTTACTGCACAAATGTTCTCTTTGTGAAATATATCGATTGTGTTCCTCTTCGGTTTACGCATACTTTTACACGTTTAAATGTGGATGTTGTCGAATATATATGGATGTGAAATTCTTTCTTGTTGTAAAGAACAAGTCCAAAAATATTATGCAACAGAGTATTTGATCGAATTAACTTGCAAAATTATGAATGCACATAGGGTGAATTACGGCCACTCCCTGAGGTGAGGTTATATTAAGAAAAATCCCCCTCTTGTTTGGGTAATTACAATCATCATTTCAACTATGAATCTTTTTACATGTCTACCATTGCATTGTTAAATTTAGTGGAATCTTGTAAATTATATGGAATGGTCTTCAGTTTGTACTCGTTTTACTCCATTCGAGCTCCACATGATCATAAAATATGTTTCTTGGCTTGTAAATCTAAGATTGTGGTGTATCAGAAACTATATTTTTGCACAAAACGAGAACAAACTAGAGAACGTTCCCCAGAATTTGAAATATTATGTTGAATTTAGCACCATAAGAGTGAATGTGTAAGAAGATTCATAGTTTAGAGTGATTGTAATTATCCGAACAAGAGGGGTTTTTTCGTAATTTGACCTTACCTTAAGGGATTGCCGTAATTTAGCCATACTATACACCACCAAGTTTCTTGATTAATCAGTCACTAAAGTATCCTTTTGTTTTCTTCAATTCTTTTTTATCCAGATACATCTATCTCATAGGAAAAAGAAGAATTAGAACTAAGTTGAAGAAAGTCCAACTATTAAAAATTTCAAAATTGTGTTGTATACAAAGGACTCAAGTATAAATAATTACAAGAGCAATCTCTCTAGGTATAGTTGTGTATTTAATAATCATCATCATCATCTTCTCTTCTTGCACCAAAGAATTTCCTGAAAACAGCAGAAGCTGCACCTAGTGCAATAAATAGGAAAAATAGATCAAATCCACCTCCAACGCCGCCTACAGCCACAGCGGGACCCGGTGCGAAAAACGAGAAGGGAGACCATCCCCACCCCCCATAACCATATCCACCGTAACCATATCCGCCACCTAGAGGTGGGGCCACTCGTGGGTTTATATACACATTTGTCCTGCAAAGAGAAAACGATTGTTAAAATCTCGGATTTCAAGAAAATGATCCATAATTTGACAACTGATGATCCCAATTTGTAACATGATTTTAATTTTGTAAAAAAAAAAATTGTAGCTAATTGCATTTTCTTGATGTTCAAAAGGCGAATGTTAAAGCAAACAAAATGAGTAAGCATAGCCTTTCATTGATATAAACTAGCTAACACATAGTAAACGGTAGAAAAAGTTGTAAGTGATTCGAAGAAACGGGGAAATGTGTGTAGGAAATGTAGCTAACATCCATGGAAGTTAACACACTAATAGAGAAACCGAGGGACCGAAAATCTTCGTATTGTCGAAGTTAACGATGATTCTAGTAATGAATGGCAAATTGAATCTTTAAAATTGCTCTATAGTTACACAAATTTCAATTCATTTGACTTAAGAGCACAAAATCCAAATAAAATTCAAGAAAGTCAATCCCATTCAAACATACAATTCTTGAAATGAATCATCTATTCCAATTCTTTTTTCTTTACCACTAAACATAGCAAACTTACTACCCCACAATAAAAATAGAAATAAATAAAAACAGAAAAAAAAAAAAACTACCTAGAATTGTTGATTCTTGGGCCAGAAGAACGAGGCGGCGCTGATGACCGGAAAGCCTGACCACCAACCCTACCGCCACTCTTACCGGCTGCAGCAGGGTCAACAGAACCCAGTGTCAATAACCCTGCCGCCATTGCAACTAGTGCCACTCTACCCAACTGGCTCTTCCCATTTTTCCTGCCCAAAAAAAAAAAAAAAAAAAATTAAAAATCAAGAATTTGATATACTCCACAACAGAAAATGGAAATTCAAGAACTATTTATTACATTGAGGAATCATTATTATTATTATCTTGATCTGGGGTTTGTCTGCAAGATATGAAAACATGTTTAACAGGAACAATTCTTTTGTGGGGTCTGATGAAAGTTGATGTAATAGGGTTTGAGAGGAAGCTGCTTTCCATTAAAGCAACTGCCATTTTTTTTTTATTTGATTTAGATTTTATTTTCTTTGGGGGAGAGATTCTGGGAATTTAAGGCAAGGTTTTCAATCTATATAGAGTACGAGGGTGTCTGATATTTATTTGTTGTTCTTGGATTCTTGATTGTGGTTCATTTGATGCCACCCAATCAGACTGCAGCATCCATATATTGGCTGACGTGTGGCATACTTACTCCCTTTCGTCTTTAACTAAGTTAACTAACTACCATGGTTACTCATCAAGGTTAGCAGAAAAATAAAATCTAAGGAACAAGTGTGATATTTTTGCAATTTTAATTGATTTTTTATTTATCTATTTTCTTTATTTTTATGTTATTCTAAAGGGTAAATTACGGCCACCCCTGAGGTAAGGTTAAATTACAAAAAAAATTCTCATGTATGAGTAATTACGACCATTCCCTCAAGTATTAATCTTCTTGCACGTCCGGCTTATAGTGTCGAATTGAACATAATTTTCTAGATTCCGTAGAATGTTCACTAGTTTGTACTCATTTTGTGTAAAATTGCAGTTTCCGAGGCACTACAATCTAATATTTACAAGCTTAGAGACACATCTTATGGTTATTTTGTTTCAACATGTGGGGATAAAACGGTAGAAATTAGAGATTATTTCACATATCTAGAAAACTCCACTAAATTTGACATAATAAATATGAACATGTAAAGAGATTCATAATTGAGGGGCTAATTGTAATTATTAAAACAAGAGGATCTTTTCCCCGTAATTTGATCTTACACATGGGCCACTGAAATTGAACCTTTTTCAAAGAGGCGTGCTAAATCCTACACTAAAATTTACTAAATCCCACACATACATTAAAAATAAAATCTCTCTCTACTCATATTTTCTCTAACTTCTCTCTAAGATAATTTTTTCCAAGTCACTCAAAATTCATTATTTTTACGTGAATAATCATAAAAATGAGTTCTTTCTTAATTAATATTTATTTGATTTCATTAAGCCTATTTACTTATTCAAATTCATATCAATTCGACTTTTTTCCTCAAATTCCAACTTTAATTTAGTTTGAACATGTGAAGATTTTCGTCAAATTCGAACTTGGAATGCTAGGGACGTTTTTAGTGTGTGATTTTCTAAAAAAATTAGGGAAAAAGAAGAAGGGTGATGAAGGAGAAGAGAATCTTTTAAAAAAAAAAAAGGAAGGAGAAGAGAAGATTTTATAGAGAGAAATATTTTTATTTATGTGCATGATTTGGTAAAATTAGTGCGGAATTTAACATTTCAGTTTTTTAAATTTAGGTAGACTTTTCCCATAAATTTTCTTAAATTTTTTTATAATGGTTTGTACTATAGGGTGTAAATAGGCGGATTGAATCATATAAACATTTTCAAAAAAAAAAAAAAAAAAAAAATATATATATATATATATATATATATATATATATATATATATATATATATATATTTTCAAAAATAAAAAATTAACTTCAATTTTATTACAAAAAATAATTGAAAAAAATGAAACCTAGAACTTAAAAAATAGAACGACACAAAAAATTCAAAATTTTTGGATCGAAAGCAACGGAAATCGAAAACTTTAAATTTATATTCACCTACAACATAAGTACATAATATGATATTGTAAGCAAAACTTTTTGGAATTATTTTTCCAAGACTTATAATCGAATTCGATAATTTTCGTAATTCAGAACGAAAAATATTGTTTCAAAATGAATTTTTTTGTAAGAATAAAAATAATTTATTTATTTATAAGAAAGAACTTTATAAAGGGTATTCAAGTAATTTCACACGATCATTTTCTTACGCTATACATGATGAGAGAAATCAATCGGAAACCGATCCCTCTCTCTCTCTCTTCTCTCTCTCTCTCTTATAAAAAGTGAAACTGCTGAAAAAATTAAAATAAATTTTCTGTACGTTACACATAATTTAAATGAATGCTTAACTGAAAATTTCGATAAGATATAAATAATACACACAACTACTAATACCCAGGAATTGTGCTTCCTTTTGTTTTTATTATTAGGAGTCCAATTAGTGACGTCACAATATGTCATCGGCGGGGGCAACGGCGGCGTCGAACGAGAAGGCCGCCGTGGAGATTTGCAAAGGAATCAACGGACTCGAGAAGGTCGTCCTCCGCGACGTCCGCGGCAGCTCCGCTGAGGTAAAAATTTATTATATCCTTCAAAATTCACTTTATTGTTCGAGGCTGCTTTTTCTAGTTTTTTGCTTTTTTTTCCGGCGATGCTTGTAAACTGAGAGTGGAAATGGATTGATCTCGATTCGATATTGTTCGATCTGTACTTTTTTTTTTAATCGAATGTTATGTGATGAATTGATTGTTTAGATGTGTGTGATAATTCCTTATATTCGTGTCGTACTGTGTGCTTCGGAGCTTGTACAATGTTGAATTTGGGTAACAATGTGATGTGGCAGGGTTTTAGGTGGTGATTCTGAAGTTTTAGTGTGAACAAACTTTTCGAGGTTATGTTGCGTGTTTTTTGAAATTTTACCTCGGTTGTGTCCATGGAAAAGAATGTCTAAAATGTTTGATTTATTGTGTAACTAATTAAACTGATGTTGGATGTTCCGTACTGATTCGTTGTGCTTCGTTCCCGCAAATGTGTGAATATATTATTAGTATTGAGATCATTGAAATTTTATTCGTAGATTGTATTGATTTGTACCCGTAAGCGGGACTAAGCATGTTGCGGCCAAAAGGCTGTATTTCTTCTAGAGATTTCCTGATTGTTCCAGTCAGTGAGTCTAGAAATTCATTTCGGCCAAACGAACCTTCTCGAACTGTTTCTTGTTGCAGGTCTTACAGAAAAAAGGATTAAGTTAATTCGGAAAATATATTCAACCAACCCCAATCCTTTTACCAATTAACATATTAGAAGATTTCACAAACCCCTTATCACTTAGATTTCGACTTTTCGGGGAAATCTGAGCGAATGAATTAGTGGTGATCTAAATGACAGAATGTAATGTAGAATATGTTCATGTATTGTTCTATCTGAGTGATGTGTTATTTATGATTTGCGTATCTCAAGGAGTGCATCTAAATAAATATTTGTAATGTTATATCTTCATTTTGCAAGCTTTTGTGACTTTATCTTCTTTATAGGTCTATTTTTATGGCGCTCATGTAACATCGTGGAAGAACGAGCATGGCGAAGAATTGCTTTTCGTCAGTAGTAAGGTATTGTCTTTGACTTGTCATTGTCCTTTTGTTCTCGATTGTACTTTAGCGGAAACTAGGCATTAACTATTATAATATTCTGTCCTCTTTAGTGTAAGATTGGGGTGATTACATAAGTGTTTGATTTAAGTACTACTGATTGTTCTTAAACTATATTCCTATCATGCATGCTTTTTTACTTCATAAAATAAACAACCGAGTTTTTTCAAAACAGCATACTTGAGAATTGAGAAATGACTACAAGACACTCCTTAATGTTTTGTCCTTCTAAACTAAGGTTTATATCACCAATAATTTGTTACAATTGCTGGCATAAAGGTTATTATTGGTTTCGGGAGCAATAACGAACCCACTTAGATTTTCATCTGTATAATTTATTAAACTCATTTGATGAGAATGGCTTTAAAAACTCTTAGTTCACAGTTTGCTGATTACCTATTATAATATTCTGTCCTCTTTTGTTGTTTGGATCTGATGGCGCTCTTTTTGTGCTTTTGCCTGCTCTTAATCTTTTCTTCTTCATAGATATCTCTTTTAATTTTTTTTCTTGCGTTTCGGTACACTACACACCACATATTTGTATCCTCAATGTCTCACACACTCAATAGAATTAATTATAAATATAGAAATTATGTATAGACGGCACTTGTTTCTCTATAAATCCTTTGTGATGAAGAAAACATAAATTCAATGGTTGAGGAATCGATGCACAAGTAGGAGTCCTCTCCTGATATAAACATGCTGATTTTCTCCTTCAGCTTTCTTTGATTTACACTTCAGATTAACTTGTTTTAAATATTGCAAAATTCCTCCCTTGTTATGCTAGTTGATTGTCAAACTTCTGAAAAATCTAAAATTTTCATTTAAATTTTGCTACATGCTTGCGTTGTTCCTCGTGAGTACTTATGTATGTTCCACCTCAAGTCTCTTGACTGATACTTCTTACATTTTTCAGGCCCTTTTCAAACCTCCAAAGCCAATTCGTGGAGGCATCCCTATATGTTTTCCCCAGGTATGTGCTCTGAACTTTGCTTCTTTACTTTCGTGTTATTCAGGATCCTCACCTAACGAAGCTGCTCTTAACTTTCAGTTCTCTAACAATGGACCACTCGAGGCTCATGGATTCGCTAGAAACAGGTTCTGGAGCATTGACCCTTCCCCACCTCCGTTTCCTACCACTACCTCCAATAAGACATTTGTCGACTTGATTCTGAAGCCCACTGAAGAGGACATGAAAATTTGGCCCAATAGGTATATAATTTAGAAGTTCTTTTTTGAGTGGTGGGGGCACTCACTGCTTCTAGATTTTCTTCGGAAAATGTCTTTGATATTTATCTTTGTTTCTTGTGAAGTTTTGAGTTCCGTCTGCGAGTAACTCTGGGACCTGCTGGTGATCTGATGTTGACTTCTCGCATCAGAAACACTAATAGTGATGGAAAGCCTTTTTCATTCACATTTGCTTATCACACCTATTTCTCTGTCTCTGATATCAGGTATTTCCCTTCATTCACATTTACTTATTCACATTTCTCTCTGTTTGTGATATCGGGTATTTCATAAATTCAAAGGGATCTTCTTCTGTTAATTTGTTTCTGAAGTGGCAATAGTTACTGTCTTGATGCAGTCAACAGATTCTTTTGTCTTCATAGTGCTTGACCACTTATTAAACATCTAAACTCAAGCTTCTTCTAATTTAGAATTGAATCACTTGCTATCAGAACGAATTTTTCAGGATCAATATCAACTACCTACCTTTTTAACACGTATTTGATGAATCATTTTTTTCCTGTTTGTACATATGCATACATATATTAGCATTCACTTTTATGGGATAGTGTAACTTTTAGGGCACACATGTATGATGAGAATGTTAAATTTGGTCTTTCCGCTGCATTCATGATATCTCAAGCTAGGAGAAGACATCCAATAGCATATGTTTTTGAAGGAGATAAATATGGCATATTTATTATAGTAACATTGCTTCAGTTCTTTAACTGATAATCTTGTTCTTGTAATATATTCTTTTGCTATAATTTATTTCAATTTTTGTTTCTTGTTCAAAAAATATGAGGTTTTTTTTAAGGTGATAAACTTTTTAGTTCACCCCATAAACGGGTACTGTTTCAATAGCATTGTTTTATTTGTTAATCCCTTTTTTGTGGCAGTGACTCTAGCCAGTGAACAATTTATAAAAAATATTTTTTAGGCTCATAACGCTAGAACCTCTTTCAGCTTCATTCTTTTGGATAAAAATAAATATTCAAGTTTGTTTGAAATTGTTATTGATTCTTTTGTCAAGTGGTTGTATTGACTCCAGCAACTAGACCTCGAGTTCAGCTCTATCCTGATACTTAGCATTGATGTTTCACTTGGAACGAGTCATTCTCTATGTTCCTATGGGCTGTGTCAGTTGTGTATTCCTGAATAATCTTTGTGTACTATCAGTCAATTTTCAACTATGCTGGATAATGTCAAAATAACTTTTTTGTATCCCACATCATCCCATTAGTGAAGTACGTGTCGAAGGGTTGGAGACACTGGATTATCTTGACAATCTGCAGAACAAACAGCGATTTACTGAACAAGGGGATGCAATAACTTTTGAATCAGAAGTAAGTTCGGAGACTGATGTTTCTTTTATCTGCCCTTTGTGTATGTATTGGCTGATAGCCTTGACTAGTTACTACTTGATTCAATGTCAATTAGGTGGACAGGATATATCTAAGCACACCTACAAAGATTGCTATTCTGGACCATGAAAAGAAGAGAACCTTCGTCATTCGTAAAGATGGCCTTCCTGATGCTGGTAAAGTTTATCTATAGTTTACCTTCACTTTTATATATGTTTTACACTAAATACTTTCTGCAAGAACCCTGTTTCGGTTTTGACGAACGACCTTTCTCGTGTTAGTAAGATCTTCCCGCCCCTTTCCCAATTATGGATTGTGTTAACATGGTTCTAAAACAAATGAATTATATGCGAAGGAAACTGTAGGGTTTAGAGGATTTTAGGTCGATTTCTGACCTTGTGGTTAAATAAATTTAGGTTAAATCCTCGTTTAACTTGGTACGATTGTTGGATTAGCATGATGTGGTTAAAGAATGTTAGGCTTAAAACATCGTCCTCTTTTTTTTTTTATTTTTTTTATTTGAGTTCTTTATTGAATTTGTAGTTGTGTGGAATCCTTGGGATAAGAAGGCAAAGGCAATTGCCGACCTTGGAGACGAGGAATATAAGTATATGCTATGCATCGAGGCAGCTGCAGTCGAAAAACCAATCACTTTGAAGCCCGGTGAGGAGTGGAAAGGTAGGCAGGAACTTTCTGCCGTGCCTTCAAGTTATTGCAGTGGGCAGCTTGATCCTCGCAGAGTCCTCCTAGGCAGCTGACAAGCTCGTCTTTATCATGTATAGGTACTTCTCCTCACCAATTTCTTACGTGTAATTCAATTTACGTATGACGTAATCATGAATTTCATTACATTGCCCTAGGCCTGCATTCGCTCTAGCCCTTTTCAGTTTCATCTTTTATCACAACATTGTCTATTTAGCTCCTATTATTGGTTATATAACTAATTTCTGATATTACTCCGACTTTATACATCGTGATATATCTATTTATATATATCTGAGAGGCTCGATTTTGTTGGTGCAGGTGGTCTGAAAACTATATGTGGAGGTATAAGGTGCGTCGTCAACGTCTGTTCAAGACCTCTTTTATCGTCTTGTCCTTAATACAATAATCTCTCTCTCTATCTCTCTTTTCTTTTACGTGGACGAAATGGAGTTGTCTTAGCATATATTGTCAAATAAGTTTTCGATTGTTTTGGTTGGGAATACACGACATTGTAGTAGTAATTGTATAACTCAGAAGCAGTGCCTATGATGCTTTTTGAGTCTCGAATTGATTCTTACCTGAAAGTATATTATATATTCCAGGGAATCGTCTAGGTTTGATTCGACTATTAAATCAAGTGATTGCTAAACATGTAATCAATTACTCATTATCCGACATATATTCGATTCTAAACTAAAGAGTCTTTGTTTTTCTAGTGAGATACATCATGTAGTTCTACACTGTAGATCTACATATAATCACGCACGCATGCAGTGAATGTAAAAGTGAATAGTTATAATTCATGTATATGATGAGATTACACTTGTTGGGCAACCATTCAAAGATTGCATAATTAACATAACAAATAACCTGAATAATATTGATTATTTCAGAGATTAATAGCAATATAGTGTGAAAAGAAAACGTAAGAACAAAAGAAGGGTTTATATGGTTTAGGTCATTTATCTGTGTCTTAACACTCTGATATACTCGTATAAATAGGACTCAAGTCAGTAATAGCCGGTGAAGGTACCAACACAGGGTCAAAGTAAGCCGTACACGGTGGCATTTGACCCACTGTTGACAGGGGAGACTCACGGATGAGATCATTTACAGATACTTCCACTAACTCGGGACCATAAATACACAAACGGGCTTCCCTAATGGTGGGCAGACTTGGAGTAAATGAGCTTCACTGGCCATCAATTGATTTTGGTTTATTTTATGCTACACCGGGTGAAATACATCGGGTTGATCTTTACCATTCATATACATACAAACACACGCACACCTACATTAGTGTGTGTAGATCAACGGTTAAAAAACACCCGGTGTAGTCTTCACCTGGTGTGGCATAGAAATAACCATTGATTTTGGCAAAAAAACACAACACCACTTAGTCAAGTTCACCAGGTTATATATCTTCAAATAAACTTATTTATTCATCTCATACAGTAGAACCTTGATAAATTAATGACCTTGATTAAATAATAGTTTCTCTCGGTCCCGACTCGGTGAAAATATGTTAAATTATTAACTCTGTAATTTAATAATTTGCTGAATTAATAGAATTTCCCTAGTCCCGACTGTATTAATTTATATAGGTTCAACTGTATTTATTTCTGTGGATCATAGATTATATGATTAAACCACAATCTAAGCTTGGACACTTAGATTCTGTACAAGTGCTTAACACATATAATTGAGAGCCTGTGAGATTATGTCAGTTAGGACAAACCAATATTATATTTATATGGTAATAACTTAAATCAAGAAGCGTGTTATATGTCTGGTTAGTTTGAATGAATAAATAAATAAATAATGGGATAACATAGTTTAGTTTTTTGATTAATCCAAATTGTCCCTATAAATGCCAGTCATGATTCCATTTGGCTTGTTCAAATAATCATTAGTTGTTAAAAGCTATTAGTTGATTGGTTCTTTGAAACATAAAAATAGTGTATTAGTCTTAATTACTTAAACAAATCCCGAATAAGAATATAGCTTTAGCTATTTGTTGATATTCCAAAGTGAAGAAAAACATAAACCCGAAATTGCGTCGAATTTGATGAATAATTTCGATCGTTTTTTAGATGGTGGCACGACACTATAAGCTACTTAATTATGACCTACTGTACGTACGTACGCTCGTGAATTCGAACTCACTCAGCCTTTATAGAGAGCCTTGTTTAAAATCCATTGAAACTTATATAGAGATTGTCACAACAAGATTTATTATATATATAAAATAGAATATCATTACATAGTATATATTCAGACTTTGCTTCTGTTTTTGCCCTTTGTACTTGCAATAATCAGTTCCCAGCAGTTTTAATAATTTTTATTGACTTTTTCTTGAAATCTATCTGTTATTCCATGCAAGAAATTCATGTCCTTAGTACAATATGCATTACACGTTCTTCTTACAATCTGTCAAAACCAAGTACTAGCAATATATATATATATATATATATATATACAATTAGAGAGAGAGAGAGAGAGAGAGAGAGAGAGAGAGAGAGAGAGAGAGAGAGAGAGAGAGAGAGAGACTAAGTGCTTTTCAGCACATATAATCCCAATTATTAATGTAATTAGTCTACTCTAAATCCGTGTTTAATTAATATAACATAAATCAGGACAACCTTACCTCATTCTAATAAAAAAATAGTTTTTATTTTTTAATGACAAACAAAAGACTTGTATATAAATAGGCATCCACCACCACCTCATCAAAACACAACAATCTTGCTTGTATCTCCCAAAAAAGAAAAAGAAAATGATGAACCAAAAATCAACAAGTTTAATGACCCTTTTGCCCCTGATTGTTGTCCTTGTAATTAGCAACACAGCCAATGCTCAGCTTAGAACTAATTTCTACAATGCAACATGCCCTAATGTTGAGGCCCTTGTTCGTGCCGCCGTTCAGGCCAAATTCCGGCAGACTTTCGTCACCGCTCCGGCCACCCTCCGCCTCTTCTTCCACGACTGCTTCGTTAGGGTTCGTCTTTTCTTTCTTTCTCTATATATATATGCATACAAAAAATGATCAACTTTTCATGACATTAATTTCAAGAAACATTTTTTTCTTGACCTAGCTGTTAATTAAAAACCCTCTAATTTTTCATGTTAAATAATTTTCTTTTCTTGGCTATAATATATATACATACATAAATATAAATATATATATATATATATAGGGTTGTGACGCATCGGTTATGATGGCATCGCCGACCGGAAATGCGGAGAAGGACCATCCGGATAACCTATCTCTCGCGGGAGACGGTTTCGACACTGTTATTCGGGCAAAGGCTGCCGTCGACAGAAATACTAATTGCACAAACAAAGTTTCGTGTGCCGATATATTAGCGTTGGCCACAAGAGACGTTGTCGCCTTGGTACGTGTATATATATATATATATGTACATACATTGTCTTAATATATACTATTGGCATTAGTGAAAACAAGAGCGGTGATCGTACGAAATTACTACGTGCAGGTCGGAGGGCCGTCGTATTCGGTGGAATTGGGAAGAAGAGACGGGAGAATATCGACTCGTGCCAGCGTACAAGGCCGTCTTCCGGGACCAGGGTTTAGTTTGAACCAACTCAACACCTTGTTTGCCAGTCATGGCCTAGACCAAACTGATGTCGTTGCATTATCAGGTATTATTATTATTATTATTATTATTATTATTATTATTATTATTATTATTATTATTATTATTATTGTTACGGGAAATTTACGGTTTTTTCGTTCCTCAAGTTCGCATCGATTTCATATTTGGTCCCTCGTGTTCACAAAAAACATATTTGGGTCCCTCATATTTCAGTAATTTAACTATTTTGGTCATTTCCGTCAATTTACCATTAGTCCGTCAGTTAAGACAGTGTTGGACAAATGTTAGATTCCGTTATTACTAACAGAAAATTGACTGAAATGACTAAAAGTGTTGAATTTTTGAAATATGAGGGACCAAATGTGTTTTTTGAGAATATGGGGATTAAATGTGAAATTGATGCAAACTTAAGGGATAAAATTTGTATTTTCCCCTTATTATTATTATATATATAACGCCTCAAATTTTTTTTAAAAAGAATTATTCATAAAATGTAGTACAAAATAAATAAATGCATTGAAAACTAGTAAATAGTGGAAACACATTTAATTGAGAGTGGGTTGGAGTTCACTGCTGCCAAAAGATAGATCATTTGTGTATATATATATCCTCAGGAACAACAACAACAACAACAATAATAATAATAATATCTCGTTATACGTCTTAATTAAATTATTAGGCGCGCACACAATTGGATTCTCACACTGCAACCGTTTCTCGAGGAGAATCTACAACTTCAGCCCGGCAAACAGAATCGACCCGTCGCTCAACCTCCAGTACGCATTGCAGCTTCGACAAATGTGCCCCGTGAATGTGGACCCCACAATCGCCGTCAACATGGACCCCACTTCCCCAAACAGATTCGACAACGCTTACTTCCGGAACCTTCAAGGAGGAAGAGGCCTCTTTACTTCCGATCAAGTCCTCTTTACCGATACTCGTTCGAGAGCCACCGTTAATCAATTTGCTTTGAACAATGCTGCTTTTGGCAGAGCATTTGTGCTGGCTATGACTAAGCTTGGTAGAGTTGGGGTGCTCACTGGTAACCAGGGTGAGATCAGAATTGACTGCACTACGCCAAATTAAACCATGGTTAAGGATTGATATATATATATATATATATATATATATATATATATATATATATATATTGTATGTGGCTGTTTCTTGATTTTTATTTTTTTTATTTTTGTTTCTTTTAAATTTTGTGAAGAGTGATAACAAATGCATTTATGAATTATAAAAGTATTGTTCAACAAACATTACATTTTCGTAAGAAAATGTTGGAAAACCCAAAAGATGTATCAATTGGTATCAAAGTGTAGTTGCGATTTTATTAACATCACCACGATACCAGAATTGTAATTTTTCAAACTTAAGTAAACTTGTACAGACTTAAATAAAGAATAGACCATGAACCGGATTGTGATTGTAAAGCCGCTAGGGGTATGAACGAGCCGAGCCCGCCTTTTTTAACAGGCTCGAGTCTATTTTATCGAGCTCGAGCTCGTCGAGTTCCCTTTTTTTTGGCTTGAGCTCGAGCTTGTGTCCATATTGTCGAGCTCGAGCCCAAGCTCATTTTGTTGTTTTTTTTTTTTTTTAAAATGTTTTTAATCATTATTTTTATTATATTAAAAATATTTAAAAAAAATTACAAAATAAACAATAAATTATAATTGTATATATTTTATCAAAAAAAAAAAATATAAAAAATAATAAATAAAGCTCGCGAGCCGACTCGTGAGCTCACGAACAACTAAAAACTGGCTCGAGCTCGGCTCGTCAGAAAGCTCGAGCCAGTTTTAAGAGAAAAAAAAAAGAAAAAAAGAGAGAAATAAAAAAAAAAAAAAAAAAAAAAGAGACTAGAAGGGAGAAGTAAGGACTAGTTGTTGAATTGTTTTGAAAACTCGATCCATTGTCTTAAGAGCAAAAGCGGAGACTTTTGAACCCTTAAGAATCGAGTTTATTAAAGTCCTTAGAGGTGACTTCATTGTTTCAAACGCCTATCTTTCAAATTTTGGCGTAATCACCTCAATTCAAGAAGAATAGCCACATATACCCATATTTCCTACCTCGAACCAAAGAGCCTAACAAATGAAAGCCACAAAGCCCCAATGATCCCAATAGCTTAATGTTCGATATTAGTAGAGTAGAATAATTTGGTGAGTATTTGGACATATGCATGTAAGTATAAATTAATTCTTTCTATCTTTAATTTGCAAATATTGGATGCTTGAAGCAATTGTATGATGGGTAAATTACACCCACACCCCTGAGGTATGCTTAAATAATTTTAAGGTCATTATGGTATCGATAATTACACTCACCCCCTGAAACGTAGTTAGAAACTCTAACGGGATAATGCATTGGATACATTATTCCGATAGGGTTCTAATGGACTATTACTTTTAACTAGTGGTGGAGATAACATAGAGTTATGGGGAGTTATTGGGTGACATGACTTCCCCAATATTTCTTAAATCACTCATATACCTCTTTGTTGTCTCCACCACTTCCTGAAACCAATAGTCCGCTAGAACTCTATCGTAATAACGTATCCAATGCATTATCCCATTAGAGTTTATAACTACGTTTCAAGGGGGTGAGTGTAATTATCAATACTACAGGGACCTTAAAGTTATTTAAGCATACCTCAAGGGTGTGGGTGTACTTTACCCTTGTATGATTTGTGGTTTTTGATAATGGTGAGTGACTAAGTGTTGTTGAATTTTGAGCGTGTGAATGCCTAAGAATTATCATTATAATTACAAGTTCTGAAAACGTGAAGTTGATCATTGATCTATGTAATGAGATGTAGTGGTTGAATTATTTGCTTATTGGTAGATTTCGCTTGAGGACAAACAAAAGTTCAAGTTTGGGGGTGTGTTAAGTGTATATTTTTACACTTTATCGTACATTTTTATTTGAGCTTTTGGTGTGTTTTAACGATAATTGGTGCTTAAAAAATTGATTTATTGTATTTTAGGTACAAATTGAAGAATTGGAAAAGTATGGGGTAAAAACTGTAATTTTGGAGAAAATTTGGGCTAAAAGTGAAAAAGTCAAAAATATGAAGATTTAAAGCTCGGATGGCCGTCCGACTTTAAGTTCAAAATGTGGGACGGTCGTCCGAGACCACGAGGCATCACAGTAAAGGGATTTTAATTGCACAAGGAAGCTGCATTCTTCCCCAAGTTTTTCACCCTATATAAGACCAAGCCAAACACACAATTGGGAATTCATCGTTTACGCAGTTTCAAGAGCAACAAAATAATAGCGAAGACGAAGAATTCGAAGACTCCAAGCAAAGATTTATCGTTTATGATTTATTTTATTTGCGTTTTTACTCTAATCATGAGTAGCTAATCTTTTTAGTTTCTAGGATTTTATTTTGAACCCTATGTGGGATTTATGAACCCTTTTATATGATTTTATGCAATTTTTAATTTCAAATTATTTCTTCTACTTGTTTTATTAAGTGCATAAACTTGATCAACTTATGTGCTTTTATGTTATTATTAATTGCATGAATCGGAAGATCGGATTAATAATTAGAACTGTGGTAGAAGAGCTTTTGTGGTATTAACATAGGAATATAGTTAATCTCTTAGGTAGCCATTATTGAGATTTGTGCTTAATGATGTGTTCTAGAATTAATTGCGTAGGAATACAGTAATTGAATCTAGAGTATTAGAATCGTAATACACGCGGAAGCGGGTTATGATTAATTTAACATCTCAGGTTAATAATCCGGGTTAATTGCTTGCATAATTGAAGGAATTGGGGGAGTAATAATCACATAGGGGGAAGAATAAAATCCTAGGCTTGTCTACTTTGATTAATCTTCGTGTTTAAATTGCTTTCTTGTTTTTGCGGGTTATGATTAATTTAGCATATTAGGTTAATAATCCGGGTTAATTGCTTGCATAATTGAAGGAATTGGGGGAGTAATAATCACATAGGGGGAAAAATAAAATCCTAGGCTTGTCTACTTTGATTAATCTTCGTGTTTAAATTGCTTTCTTGTTTTTGCCTTTTTAATTTACTTAGTTAGTTTAATTTAATTAAATTAATCTTTTCCAAATTCGACTGTGTAGGATGGGCTTGGTAATAATTGTTAGGGTTTAGCATCTAAGATTAAATAATTAAATATTCTCTGTGGGTTCGATATGCGGACTTAATTGTCCACTATATTATTTGTACGAGACGTGCACTTGCATGTGAAACACGTGGATTATTTCCACATTGTGTTTTTAACTTTCTTATTTTTTAAACTAAATTTTAGTTATGGAATAAGTAGTGCTTAGTGGGTTAAGTATAGTGCTTAGTGGGCTAAGTAGTGCTTAGTGGATTTAATTGTGGATTTTATTCTAACTTCCTAACTAACCCACTAACCCATTTTCTTGAGTGCTCTTGTGGTTGGTTTTCTTGCAGATCATGGGCTGAGGAGTGGAAGCTTGAAATGTCTATAAATACCGATTTCAATACTCAATGATTTTTATCGATTCTACGAAATAAAAAACCGAGAGCTGAAAAGAATACATGAGTGTTTTAGAGTGGTTTTAGAATCGGTCGTTTGTACTCCTCATGAGTACAATCTTTACGTACTCCTTATGAGTACATTCTTTACGTACTTCTCATAAGTACATTCTTTGTAGTCTAGATTGTATAGTATATATGTTTCTAGACTTGGTTGTAAGAATGATCAAGATAGTGATTCATTCATAAGTTCTTTACGTACTCCTCACGAGTACATCTTTGAAATCTAGAATTTTTAATATTTTTCTTTTTGTATCTAGATTTGAATGTAAGAATGATCATGAGAATGATTCATTCATAAGGAAGAAGTTTTCGCACCTCTTCTGTTTGTATTCTTGGAATACTGATTTTAATATATTTTCTCGCCCTGTAAAGGGCAAGTTCACAAGTCTTTACTTGTGAACATTTTTAATTCTGAGTGTTGTTCTTTTATCTTTATATTTCCGCTGCATGTTTTCTCAAGTGTCATAACACTTCAGATAACATCTCTGTATTAAACGAATTCGGGACCATAAATTATTTCAATTGGTATCAAGAGCCAACACTTGACGTAACTAAGTGTTTGTTCTTATTTTCTTTTTCAGAAACGAATTCGTGATGGATACTCAGATGATTGCTTCCATGCGACCTCCTGTACTTGATGGCACAAACTACACCTACTGGAAAGTCGAGATGAGGGCGTACATCAAAGCCACTGATGAGAAAGCCTGGAGATATATTCTTAGTGGATGGAAGCCACCAACTATCACATATGCGGATGTGGATGTATTTCCAACACCAGAATTACGGTGGACAGCAGACGATCTATCAAATGCACTCCAGGCAGAACTAGAAAAGGAACAAGTTGCTACGGAATATGATGATGATGCAGATGAATGTCTCAACAATGTGGCATTTCAGATTCAAAAATTCAATAGGGCATACAGACGAAGTGGAATCAAGCCTAGACAGTTATTTCCAGATGGCTCTCCACAAAATCGAAAAACTCAACCTCGGAACAGATCTATTCCACAGAAAATATTTCCTCAAACATCTTCTCAAAACACTTTAAAAAATTCTTCATTTATTCGTTCAAATTCTGAACCCCCTAACTTGGATCATATTAAATGCAAGGCATGTTCAGGATTTGGACATTATGCTAATGAATGTGCAACTACCTTGAGAAGAAGAGGAATGAGTCTGATTTGTGCTGTCAGTGATGAGGAGGAAGAACAACCTGAACAGACAGAGGAACATCAATCCTCTAAACAAGCTCTTTCTGCCAGATATCTCACTGGAAGTGCCTCTGAAACAGAATCACAAGGAGTTTCTCTGGATGCTGCAACACTTTCTGAAACACTTTCATTAACTGAAATTTCTGAGTTAAATACTGATCATTATACATGTTTAAACAATATTTCTTTGAATGCAGCAGAATCCAGTAATAAAGCAGTTAGTGATGAGGAAGAAATGTGTAAGAGATTGTTCTGTGACTTGGAGAAGAAGACTCAAGCTCTAGATGCAGCCAACAAGAAAAATTCTTCCCTTAAAGAAACAATCACACATTTGGAGGTTGGTATCACCAAG